CTTAGGGCACAGAAAGAAAGTCATTAAAGAAGCACTATAATATATCTTATGTACCGGTAATACCATCATTGTCCTCAGGGTTATCTCAACTCCCATCTGGCTCAATCCTATATAAAAATGGTGGCCCCGATCGCCAGGCAATCTCAGCCATGAAAGATTGGATGATTAAAGTAAATTATACGGGAAAGCTACATTTAGTTAACGCTTCGGGTGCAATGTGTTGCTCACAAAGGCCTATACATTACTTTACTAGGAACAGGAGAACAAACTAAACGAGTCGCAGGCCGAGTGATGGATAACCGATCCTAATCTGACATGAATCACAATTCCATTACCTCAACTAAGTCTCTCTCTAACCTCCTTGACTCAACTGACAGAGGGTACCTGAAATCCATTGCTACTCATTGAAAGTCGCGCGCACACAGAATCACAAACGACACGGTCAGTGAGAACTGATAGCGTCGATTCGCAGAACATAAAAATGTGAAATCCAGTGCCAGCAATCAAACGGTAAACAACCCTTATTTTATGGGAAATCACTTCTAATGCAAAGAGCAGCCACCCGTTCATATGGGGGTTATCATCGAACCTTATCTGATAAACGTGCCACCCATGCCTAATCTACAAGCAGATCTTTTGGTGGCCGCAAAGACAGTATATACTACTAGTATATATTTGATATATCAAATTGGCCAGGCTGTATCCAGTCTGCCAAGAAGGCTACAAACGCTGCAACCTTCGAGACATGTCTCGTTGTTACAGGCACAGTTATAATCGTGTTCTGTCCTGTCAAATCCATATGAATGCTGCCTGGAGCTGCAAGCCATACAGCTAATGTGATGTTATCAGGTATCAATCATACACCTGTGGGAAATATGAATAAACTTTATTACAACTTACTGCCAGGGGGCCAATTGTAACAAACAGGATAACGATGAAAAATCAAGTAGTTAAGTATGAACAGCATCAGGAAGGGCTCGGCGGTTGTTGGGAGGGAGACGGCCTGCGGGTCCGGCGCCCAGGATACATTTTGCAAGCCGAGGTTGGAAGATTGTGACTTCCCTCTACCTAACCCCGGGCTAGGGCGGTTTCTAATCGGCCCGCTAGCGACAATAGTCCCGTATTCAAGTCCAACCGGCCCACGCAGATACACCGCCCCACAGTACCCGTCGCTCGGTTGGATTCGATTAAGTCTCTCATGAGAGGGCAGTAAAAACAGCGGCCAAATCCCGCGATTCTACCAGAATAGTCTTCTGTAAAAATGTAGAAGTTGGAAATTCAACTTCACAGATAGACCCTGCACGCTTTACTAGACTAGTGTAGTGACTCAGGAAGTAGAGGAAGATGGACCTATTCAACGTGTGTATTTCCCATACTAGAGTTCCCCGATCTCATACCTTCGCCAAATGATGTTAATCTTTATGACTGACAAATTATAGATTAGATTATTCCCCCCTGATTTAATAAATAGGAACCTAATTTTCATTAATTATCATTTTATCATAATCTCAACCAAAAAAACAGTCTTATATTAACAAACAATGCATTCTAGCATTTCCTAATAAATTATGCAAATGAGGTCCTGATTTGAATAAATTATGTTTAACGATGTTCACCTCAATTTAACTTTCAAATACCACAAGTATGAAATTCCAGGCAGTTATCATTACATAATTATAAAATTTTCTCATTAATTATGCAAATTAGGTCATTATTAACATAATCAATATCGTCCTGTGTTTCTCTCGTTGTCAATTACCAATGTCACAAGCTTTAATTGTCCTATCATGGAATGCAGCTGATTTATAAAATTTCCCATAATTATGCAAATTATATCCATATTTGTCATAATT